TTATGATGAAAACTACCTTTGAGTTGGTATTCAAAACCAAACCCTTCACTGTCTTCTCATTTCCCAATTGAATCAATACATGCGAAAAATATCTAATATTTCTCGACGCCGTTAACACAAATCCTCGCGAATCGATTATAAATCCCGAACACCAAAGAGCGCCCGACTCTTGGATATGCAAACCTATTTCTGATCGACGATATGACGGCTTAATTGTCACAAATGGTGCGAACCATTCATTAGTAAACATTCCCTGTTTTGACGGTGTTGTCGATCGGTTAGCCAACTGAGCGCTTCTTAAAACCAACGCTTGTCTTCTGTGAACATTTGTTGCCATCGTTTGTGTCGATTGCATTCTCTTATATTGAAACCAATAATTTGTTGCAATCATTGGAATCGTTGCCACAAATGCTCTTCTGATCCACAAATTCATTATTAAAAATCAAATTTTAGTATAATTTAGTTGAATCTCAAATTTATTCTTTGCTCTACAAATATAATTTCACAAAAAAAACAAAAACGTTTTAACTTTAAAATTAAACAATTAAATTTAATCTCGCGTTTGTTTAAAAAACACACTTGTTAAATATTGTTTTAATACTATAGAGTATTCTTGTAAGCATTAAATCTGTATTTCATAAGTATTTTTTAAAAATAGAGAAAACATAATTAACGGTTAAATTACTATTAATAACGACACAAATATTAGAAAAACAGTGTCTTATAAATTGAAATACTGTGTAAAATATATAAAGAGATATTGATTTCAGTGATTATAGCGTTAATGAGTTCACCGCCGGATGTGTTGATCACAAAGAGTACGGCGGGCGACCCGTGGATAACAATAGCGATCGGGGCTATGATTGCTGCTCTTGTAATTATGGTCGTATTGTGTGTCGCCTTTTGTGTCATTTATATCAATAAAAGGAAACGAAATGCAGAGAAGAAGAGGAACAGGACTTTAGCCAAGTTGGGAGAACTCAATTCAGACCTTAATTTAAAGTTAGAGATCGACCCGATGTCAGTCACTGCACAGAAAGAATCGGTAGAGAAACAGAAAATGCCCGCAAAACCTGTTAAAAGCCCACCAAAAGCTAAATAATTGAAATACAGATTACAAGACAATGCTTTAGAAAATGTTTTTTGCCATCAATTTAGTGACAGATATTTATTTCAAATTCTCGTTTCTTATGATATTTATTACAAATATATATTTAGTTTTGCTTTTATATAACAATAAAATAATTTAAGTTATATTTCAATATAAACCACATTTTTAAAAATTAAAGATTAAATATAAGTAATTAATATTATGCAATAAATACCGTTATCTGATGCCAATGCAAGTCATACTAACATTTGATTCTTGTATTTCCTTACAGTGTATGAAAATTAATAGCAGAGCCTTAGCGTAAACTGCATTTGATTGCTTCAAAGCCATGCAGTGAACACAAACTTCATTTATGCATTGAGTTAAGTTTGATGTTGTGTTCACTGCATTGCATTAGTGTTATAAATGCAGTGTAGAGTACGGCTGTGCTCTCACAACACTTTCAATTTAAATCAAAAAAGGTTTGATTTGAACGAAAAGTGCATTTATGAATTATAATACACATAATGTACATATTGATAGTGCATGTATATTTATGTGAATAATATTCTAATATCATAGTGAAACTGCACTTTACCACACTCACATTTGTTACACCACACCTACATTCAAGTATTGCGTCAAATAATTAGATGTAAATTATTAAATAAATGGTTTAATACTTATAAAATAATGTTTGAATTTCTATTATTAGTATAAAATTTGTTATTTATGTGGCATTCTTTATCAGCCATAAGAATATCGTTAAATTTTTGCAAACAAACTCAAAATTTTTAAAGTAATTAATAGACATTTCTTTAAATCAAAGTAGATATTGAAATGTCTAAATCCTTGTTTGAAAGACGCCGAGAGTTTGATATCGTTATATATTATTTATTTACTTTAACACTAATCTTTCATTTGTAAACCTGTTTTTATAAATAAACTTATTTTCTAGATTCTAGTAAAATTATTTGTTCAGTTTCTAATAATTTTTTTAATTCATTGAGTATTTTTTCTCTTATATTTTTTTTAAACAATTATTTGTTGGATTTTAAGGAACAGTAAATTAATTAATAATGTAAATATGTTTTATGTATAAAATTATATTTTACTATTAACTTTATTTAATAAGTTACTAATTGTTTATTTTTATTTATCTGATTTATTCTTAATTATAACTTAGTTTGAAAATATTTTTCATTATAATTTTTATTTTTAATACAAACAATCGGATAAAATGGTTTCATTCTCTCAGATCTTAACCTGAATATAGATTGGTATCAAAATGTTTGTTAAGTTTTATATTAAATGTCTTATTATTTCTTTCGACTTTAAGAGTAATCGGATTGTCTTCAGTCATGCGATCGATAGCATAAGTCAATTGAGAAATGAATGTCAATTTAATGTTATTCACTTCATCGATAATATCTCCAACTTTTAAATCATTTCTATATTTATGAAATAGAAATTTGACAAAAATTGTCATTTGTTTGATAAAAAAGATATATTAAAAACTCGTCACATACTTATCAGCGATGGGATTATTGTCGGCAATGAATACAACAGTAAATGTATTATCCGTTTGTCTCTCAACCATAAATCCTAACGATTTCTTTGCTTTCGTCGAGTAATTCATTTCTCGCGATGTTTTCTCAAACTTAAGTCCATTTTCGAGAAATTCTTTATTTGAATGAATGAAAAGAGATTTGAAATTCATATAAAATGAATTGAATGATTGCATACATTCTCATACCCTTTATATCTGAAGCAGAAGTGCCGCAACGGATGCCAATGAGTATATTCGATGAATGATGAACAGCCATGAGATGACCGTTAGAGTCGACAACTGGTCCGCCGAAAAATCCTCCAAAATTGGGCGCCGAGTGAATGACATACCGGTGTTGTGCTGAAGGCGATAAATGATTGTATCCATAGGTTGCCATATTAGAATTGATGTTAGCCTTATAGTAACCGGCAATCATTCCCACATTTAAAAGCCAACTCTTCGTGTCTGGATTTCCAATAGACATAATGGATTGGCCAGTCGTTGGCTCCGATGCGGATAAGTCTAACGCCGGTAATACTCCGCTCTCGACGTATATCCTGATCAACGCTAAGTCAATATCTGGCCAAATGTACACTACCTCTCCCATCACGGTTTGAATTGTTTGATGGTCGGTATTGTACGATAGTCGGTACCGTAAGAGTTTGTTCATATCGTATGGTCTGAAGAATGTTATCATAAGGTGTGATAAACCTGTGACCACATGACCGTTGGTCACGATTAGACCCGAAGAGTTCACTATAATTCCGGTGGCACTGCCCTTAGCTCTGGGCTCATTGATCAGAACCACTGATTCTTTGCATTTATCGTACAATTGTTGCAAATTATTACTTAATTGAGCTCTTCTTATGACAAAATGTGGCGTTAATTGTGCCAATGGTTTGACGTCTATTTGTTTCCAGTATTGGTATTGAAACCACAATTTAGTGACAAATGTAGGAATCATTACCAAATATGTTACACTTTTTCAATGTTAAAAAATTAAATTATAATGTAATTAATATTTGCTGTAAATTATTATATTTTTTATATCAACCTTTTTGCGTGTTTTGTAAATAAACTTATCAATTGATACATTTGTAGATAATAGTAATTATTTTCTAAATTGTGTAATAATAAGTCTATGGTTTAATTAATTGTAACGAATTTATTTGATATTTTAAAAGTGTAATTAAAAATCATGACATTTACTAATTAAATAATATATAAACTAGAATTAAAATCTCGTAAATGAAGTAAAAATAAATCGTAAAATTAATAATGAGAAAATTTTAAAATTAAAAAATCACAAAAAATATGTAACTTTGTGAGGGATTGGATCACTTTCGAGATTAGTTATACTTTGCATTTCAATTCTACGTTTCAATCCAGAGCTTAGCTCAACATAAACACAATAATTACATTTCAAAGCACTAATCATTTCGTAAAACTGATCCAAAGACTTCACTTTTCTGCCATTTATTTTAATTATCACATCATATTGTTTGATAAGATCCTCCTCCTCCCCCTTCTTCTTACTGTATTGTAAAGAACATGTTATAATTAGATTCGTATTACAATTAATTTATATCATTATTATTACAAACAATATTTCTTAAATTCTTCACTCATCCACCAAATGATGAGACCATTGCCATCCTTTGGGAGTTTCATATCTTTATAATTGGGATGACTTTTCAACTCTTCCCTCGAATTTTCTTCAAACCATTTGACTATAAGTCCGAGTGATCTGTTTTTATCGTCAATATTTTCTTTCAAATATTTGTCCGTTTCGTTTACTAGAGCTAAAAACCCATTGATTGAATGTGATATACATTTACTTTATTATACTTTAAAACAAACCTTTAACTCTAACTGCTTTGGGATTAATTCTGACGGCCAAATAGACCCCTTCTTCATCTTTAATAAGGTTAATGCCAACCACTTGTCCGCTGGCGTTGACCAGCGCTGAGCCGATGTTTGATTCGCCAAAACCGATGGTGTGTTGAATACAACTAAATGGTGCATAATCAACTCTGGTCGCGGAGACAACACCACCAGTAATTTGATTATATAAGTCCTGCTTTCCAAAGCCCACCGCAAACACCTTGTCGTCTACTTCTAGTGTATTTGGATCGCCGATTGTAACACATGGCCAGTCATTATAGTCGCCCTTTATTTTAATTACTACAATTTTTGAGTTTATGTCCAAAACCCAACCCTCCGCTACTCTTTTGTTGCCCAATTGGATGAACACTTCCCGAAACTTTTGGATATTTTTAGAAGTTGTTATAACAAATCCGCGCGAATTAATGATAAATCCCTGACACCAGTTGGCGCCCGGATATAGCGGAGTGTTGTCTGCCTTATGAAACAATGGTCTAATTGTCACAAACGGTGCGAACCAATTATCAGTAAACGGTTCTGATTTTGATGAAACAGTCGACAAATAAACACTTCTTAAAGCAAACGATTGTTTTTCGTAAACATTTGTTGCCATCGTTTGTGTCGATTGTCTTCTCTTGTATTGAAACCAATAATTTGTTGCAATCATTGGAATCGTTACTACAAATGCACTTTTGATCCACAAATTCATTGTCAATTTGAAAGTTTTATTAATTTGTATAAATACAAATTCAAAATTTCTATACGTTATTTAGTATTGAGCTATTTATATACAGTATTTAGATTATATAAAATATTTAAATCCAATAATAAAATTTAATTGATCATGCTGTTACTAAATTGTTTAATTGTTATGCATATTTTATATAATCGTAACATTAGAGTAGTTTTACGTTTAACGAGATTTAATATAGATTTTATGTAAGAAAAATTATATACCGTATAATTAAATACAAAAGTGAATGCACATAAATTACTTATATTTTTAAATGTTATGATAAAACTTATACCGACGAGAGATTGGGATCAAAATGTTGTTTAAGAGTTATATTTACAATTGTTTGCTTTCTATTGATACTTAACTTCAATGGCTTCTCTTCAGACATATTAACGATAGATTCAGTCAATTGGGAAATGAATGTCAATCTCTGGCCATTGACTTCATCGATAATATCTCCCACTTGTAAACCGTTTCTATAATTATTAAATTACGAATTTGAAAATAATTTTAATATTTGTTATGTAATTAAAAATATGATATATATAAATGTTGTCACAAACTGGGTAGCGATGGGATTATTATCGGCTATGAATACAACAGTAAATGTATTATCCGTTTGTCTCTCAACCATAAATCCTAACGATTTCTTTGCTTTCGTCGAGTAAACCATTTCTCGCGATTGTTTCTCAAACTTAAGTCCATTTTCGAGAAATTCTTTGATAAATAAAATGCAATTAATATTCAAATTCACTATAATTAAGGACTTTATAAAATTACATAAAACTGTTTTAAATATTTATGTTAACATTAATGATAACATACTCTTAACATCGGCTGCTGAAGTGGAGGACCGGAAGTGTTGATTCTCACCGAAGTGAACGGCCACGACATGACCCGCGGAGTCGACAACAGGTCCGCCGGAAAACCCACTAAAATTGGGCGCCGAGTGAACGACATATCGATTTTCGGGTGAATGCGTTAAATGTGTATACATTGAGACTCCCATACAGTTTGTGTACCACTGATAATAACCGGTGATTATTCCCAGACTCACGAGCCAACCCGTCGTCCCTCCCGGATGTCCCACAGAGATCACCGGTTGACCAATCGTTGGCTCCGATGCCGATAAGTCTAACGCCGGTAATACTCCGCTCTCGACGTATATCCTGATCAACGCTAAGTCAATATCTGGCCAAACGTACACTACATCTCCTCTTATAGTTTGAATTTTATCATCTTTTCCGTAAGTGTTGACCCAAAAGAGGTCTTTCGCATCGTATGATCGGAAGAATGTTATGTTAACGTGTGATAAACCTTTCACTACATGACTATTGGTCACAATTAGTCCCGAAGAGTTCACTATTATTCCGGTTCCCTCTGAGCTCACAGTTCTCACTAAAACAACACATTCTTTGCATTTTTCGGACAATTGTTGCAAATTATCACTTAATTGAGCTCTTCTTATGGAAAAATGTGGTGTTATTTGTAGTAATGGTTTGTAATTTGTGTGATTTGTGAGATTGTTTTGAAACCTAAATTTATTGACAACTATTGGAATCATTGCAACAAATGTGGCGCTGATTTGATGTAAGAAAAAACAAGTTTAAATTTAGTTATTCGTTATAAACTAAAAGTTTTAAATAACCATCTTTTATATTTTGTTAATAAAGCAATCGATTGATACATTTGTAGGTTATATGAAATACCTATCGCTGTATATCTTTAAAAATAACTATTAGTTAAAAATTATTCAATCAATAAATCTAGTATTTAATTACAACGACTTAATTTAATTTAAATAATGTTATACAATGAAAAATAACATGAGATTTAATAAATAAAAATGTGATAATAATAATAAGGGATTCAATCGAAATGCCAATTAATAATTGGCAATTATTTATATTTTGGATTTTATATAACGTTAAATTGAAACAATTAAACCAAATATGTTACTTTACGACGATTGCTATTAGTGTTGGCCTTAATTTCCAATATATCTTCGAGTGTTATCACAACAATAGATCCCGTATTTAATTCAAAGCAAACACTGTTCTCGCATTTCAACGCATCTGTCATTTCATAAAACTGATCCATAGAAACCACATTTTTGCCATTTATGCCAATTATCACATCGTATTGATTGATAGGTTCAGATTGATATTCATCACTTAAAAATGTAATCAAATTGTTTTAATTCACTAATGAATTAAATAGATGTAAAACATAATAAAACCAAATATCATATTATGGTTTATATGATTGTCTTTACAAACCAATATTCCTTAAACTCGTCGCTCATCCACCAAACGATGATTCCTTTGCCATGATTTGCAGATTTAAATTTTTTATATTGCGGATGAGTTCCCAGATCTTTATTTACTTCTGTGTCAAACCATTTGACTATAAGTCCAAGTGATATGTTTTTATCGTCAATAATTTCCTTCAAATATTTGTCCGTTTCATACATTAATCCTAAAACAATTCAATTTGAGATAAATGTCATTTTTCAATATAAATTGAGCCATTAATACAAACTCTTAAGTGAATTGTCGTCAATTCTGAGAGCAAATGAGTTTGTCTTATCCTGTTTAATAAGATTAATGCCAACCACTTGTCCGCTGGCGTTGACCAGCGCTGAGCCGATGTTTGATTTACTAAAGCCGACGGTGTGTTGTATAAAATGCATTACATTATCAGAAATGCTGGCCTCGACGACAACACCACCAATAATCTGGTTATATAAGTCATGCTTTGCAAAGCCCACCGCAAACACCTTGTCGTTTACATCTAGTTTATTTGGGTCACCGATTGTAACACATGGCCAGTCATTATTGTCACCCATTATCTTAATTATTATAATTTCGGTATTTGTGTCCAAAACGCATCCCTTTTCAGTCATTCCGTCTCCCAATTGGATTAACACTTCCGGAAAATTTCTGATTTCTTTGAACGCCGTTATAACAAATCCGCGGCAATTAATGATAAATCCCGGGCACCAGTAAGAGCTCGATCCCGGATATCGCGAAGTAATGTCTGTTTTATGAAACGATGGTTTAATTGTCACAAACGGTGTGAACCAGTGGTCAGTAAACGGTTCCCGTTTTGATGAAGTGATTAAAGAATTTGATAAATAAGCGGTTCTATAGATAAACGGTTGTCTATTGTAAACATGTGTTGCCATCGTTTGTGTCGATTGTTTTCTCTTGTATTGAAACCAATAATTTGTTGCAATCGTTATCACAATTCCTCTTCTGATCCACAAATTCATTATTCAAATTAAATATTAGTTTTTACCAAAAGATTTAATCTTAATTTAGTAATTAAAAGATTAGCGTTAAAAATAAAATATAACATTCAAATTAATCTCGTTATTACTCTACAGTATTATTAATGCGTAAACATAAAGAAAAGTATAAAAATTAAGACTAAAATTTATAAAAAGATTTTATTTGAATTTTTTTATTTTAAATGTTACAAAATTTAATATAAAGCAGAAATTAATGGAAATATAGTTTAAATAAGATTTGTTAAGACGTCTTAAGCCCACGAGAGATTAGATTGAAAATGTTGTTTAATACTTATATCAATAAGAGATGTATTTCTTTCAATCATTAGCTCTAATGGTTTGTCTTCAGTCATAATATCGATGGCATCCGTTAATTGAGATATAAATATAAAATATTGTTCATTCACTTTAATGATAATATCTCCCACTTGTAAACCATTTCTTGAAATATAGATATTTTTAATTATTAATATAAAACTAAAACATAATTTTAGGAATTGAAAGACTACTAACTTTGAATCCTGGTTCAATGGGTTTTTATTTGCGATATAAACAATCCAAAACTCATCTGATAATTGTTTTTCAACCATAATTCCCAACGACTTCTTGGCATTTGTCGAGTATTTCTTAGCTCTCATGTGTTCGGCAAACATATTGCCATTAGTTTCAAATTCTAAGATTAAATTTACATTAAAAGTGACATAAAATTAAAACATTTAATCAATGATAACATACGGCTCAGTCTCGATGAGGGAATGCCTGCGTTTTGAGCCAAGATATGCAACGAATGAATGCCTACGAGATCTCCGTCTGTGTTAATAACAGGTGCGCCGGAAAAGCCGCCGACATTTGTGGCGGAATAGACAACATTTCGGTGATCGGGTGAATGAAAGGCCGTCGCGTGACTGAACACATCGTAACAGTTATTCATCCATTCGTAGTAACCGGTAATCATTCCCAGCGATGGATTCCAATCGTTTGCACCGGGATTTCCGACACACATCACCGCATCGCCGACCGCACAGTCCGACGCAGACATGTCTATCGCTCTCAACGCACCCGGAATTACGTACACTCGGATCAACGCTAAGTCAATGTCTGGCCAAACGTACAGCACTTGTCCGTCCAGTTGCTGAATATCATCGTCGCTGTTGGGGTCCCACCAAAACAACTCATACGCTTTGTATGTATAGTACAGATCGATTTCAACGTGTGTCACATCTCTGACCACATGAGCGTTGGTTATGATTAGACCCGAAGTGTTGATTATAACGCCTGTACCCGACGCTCCGTTTGCGTGAACCTTAACCACATTTCCTATGCATTTATCGTACAATTCCTGGAAATTATTATTCATTTGAGCACTTCTTAGAGCCAAATGTGGTCTGAATTGTATTTTTGGTCTGAAATTTGTATGATTTCTATCGTTGTATTGAAACCAGTATTTGTCTATAATTATGGGAATCGTCGCCACAAAAGGTGTACTGAATTTATGTAAAAAAACAAATTATAATTTACTTTTTTCTCTTTTATTCAAACCTTTTCCTGATTTTCATAAATAAAGTCCTCAATCCATACATTTTTGGACAAATAACTATAAAATGTTATACAAAATAATATCAATTAACTTATAAATAGTAACGAATTTTTACTGAAAATTGAATATAATTCAAACGTATAAATAAATGTAATCGCGATCTAATAAATATATAAATGTATGTATTTTTAATTTTTTAAATCCATTTTATGTATGATTGTTTAAAGTCAACATTTGTTGCCTTTGTTTAACTGTTGTATTAAAACATTTGATTTCTCTTTAGTAAAGGGTCTTTACTAGGGTGGCCAGCTGTTCTCTTTTTAAAGAACAGTTCTTTATTTGGATATATTTTGAGGATTGTCCTCTTAAGACTTATTATTAAAATTAGGGTAAACACTTGTTTCCGTTATTTGTCATCTTGTCTAAAATGAGAGTTGGTCAACCTAGTCTTTACTACAATGTTTTAGCTGCTTGTCTTTACTCAAATAGTTGATAGAAACGGTTAATTGCAACATAAATGTCAGATTTTGTTCATTCACTTTAATGATAACTAATAAGATTCTCAATTTCTCATACATTTTAATTGAATAAATATAAAATGTTAGAAATAGTTTAAAGTAACCAATGTTGTAACCAAGTTTAATGTAACCAAGCAATCAACACAAATAATTAACAACAATATAAACGAGAACATATAAATGTTCACTTTAGTTATAAAAGTGTATGTTTTTATTTTGTATTTAATTTATTAAACAAAACTAAAAATATAATTTAAAGAGTATTTTATGAATAAAACGTTAAGCAAAGTGAATGAGTTTGCGTTTATCCCCTGGTCTACCGAATACATTCAAAGGCAATATTCTGATCACATTTCCATCACTTAAATGCAAATCCAATGGATTATAACATTTCAATTCATCAATTGCTTCGTATAATTGATCCAAACAGTCGATCGCAAAGCCATTTATGCCAACAATCACATCATATCGTCTCATTTTATTGGCACAGCTTTATATAAATCGTTTATCTATTAATGAATTTAAACATTAATTTATACAAACCATTTGGTCCTAAACTGTTCACTCATCCACCATATGATGATAGCGTCGCCGTTCTCTGGGATTATCATATCTCTATAATCTGGATGTGTTTTCAACTCTTCCTTCAACGCCGTGTCCAACAATTTGAATACCACTCCAAGCGATGTAATGCTTTTGTCTGCGTTTGCAATCAAATNATGATAGCGTCGCCGTTCTCTGGGATTATCATATCTCTATAATCTGGATGTGTTTTCAACTCTTCCTTCAACGCCGTGTCCAACAATTTGAATACCACTCCAAGCGATGTAATGCTTTTGTCTGCGTTTGCAATCAAATACTGGTCGATATCCTTCATAATTATGGCTTTAAAATTGTTAATAGAGTTTTTAAAAAAACATTATGAAAGCTATGCTTTAAATAAACAAAAATAAATACCAAAAAACGGATTATTAACTGAAAGCGCATAGAAACTAGTCTTTGAGGCTTTATTGACATTAATGCCAACCACTTTACCGTCGGGTGTGACCAGAGCTGAGCCATAGTTTTGGTCAGTGAAGGGCGCCGAGTGTGCAATCAATGTCATTCCGCTGAAACCTGCGGCCATTGTTTTGATATCCTTGCCGTCGATCTGCGGACAAGTGATCACACCATCGAGTAGTTGGTTATAGAGACCGTACTTTGAAAAGCCGACCGCAAACACAGTGTCGTCCACTTCAAGCGTTGACGGATCGCTGATCTCTATG